TTTCCCCCTATAACCAAGCCCAGTTCCATAATGTGATAAATACCCCAAAAGGAAAAAAAAAAAGGCACCTTGGCAATTTAGTCAATGTAAGCTCAAGTAGCAGATAATAGTTTCTTTTCTGGAATAAACATGTTCATTGTATATTTTTAAATAAAATTAATGTGTTTTCTTTTGCATGTTAAGTTTCAGATAATTTGGCTATGTTTGTCTGTCAGAGAGCAACATAACATTAGACAATCTGAGTAACCATTTTATGGGTAGTATAGGTAATTTGATGAGCAACACCAAAACAATGTAGTTCAAAGTGATGGTTGTTAACTTTGATCCCAAATTACAATGTTTGGTCTTTGTATTGCGTATTTTTACCTTCACACTGCTGCATCAGTATAATGAGAATTCAGTGAAGTTATGATTGCATATCTGTGTGTAGAAGCAGACGTCAAGTAGGAGATGCAAGTTTTCTACCTGTGAGGCTGCAGACAATATACGTCTCTGTGGATGGCTTAAAAAGAGGAAAAATGGAAGCAGTGAAAGTAGTGGATGGCAGGTTTTGATGGACATTTGAGAAGTAAGTTAAAACAGATAAAAATAAACAGGTGGAGGGATGCTGAGAGGGAGACAGCAGAATGAGAGACATATAGTAATAGATAGTCAGAACTCATATGTGCGCTTGTCTTTCTGAGTTGGTTTTAAGAGGCAGAAACTCCTTGTAATTGCCTCAGTTGTCAAAGTAGCTGAAGTTTCTTACATCACTGCTGAAAACTATGGCATCAAGCTTCTCCTCAGCTTTCTCCTTCACTGCTGCATATGCAAAGCGGCATCATATATCACTTTCCAATTGTCTGGTGACCTGTTTGGTTGTCTGCTTGTTCCTGCTTCTTTGACTCATTTTTTTTTCTTAACCCCTGACTGCAGCAGCAAACACTGTTTTCACAGATCAATAAGTCTGAGCTTGTGAAGTGTCTGCTTCGAACACTTATTATATCACTTGGATGCTCAGTCCTGCACAGCAGCAAACCTTCCATCACTTTTAATCCACCTCACAACACCTTTACTTTCAACTTAAGATGAATACCACAGACACTAACACACACTGGTGATGGAGGAAAGTTTGTTGGGTTTATTTTAAGGAGGAGTAAACAAATGATAAACAATGTACTGTATACAATTTCAATTAAAAATGAATCCTTATATAAACAGAAAAGAACACTAAAATCATGTAATTATTGAACCATTTTACATCTTAAGCAAAATCATGCCCATAAATTAAGCACAATGGGCCTCATTTAAGAACCGTTCGTACGCACAGATTTGTTCTTAAATTGTGCGTACGAGTGATTTAGGAGAATTTGTGGCATTCACCAATGTTTTCATATTCTAAGATTTTTTTCAGATACGAACAAAATTCAGGAGTGGTCCAGACCTGTCGTATATTTTACGAGCAGTCAGTCTGCTGTTATCCAGACGGGTTTTCTTATCGATCAGATGCTGCTGCTGACTGATCCATGATGTGATGTAAATGTAACATTTTCTACATACAGGCAGAGGTGTCAAGTAACTAAGTACAAATACTTTGTTACTTTACTTAAGTAGTAATTTTGGTTATTTTTACTTTAGTGGAG